ATACTCACCCCAAGATCTTTCTCCTTGAGTGAGGTTTGCAGTCTTTGGCCACCTAGCCTATACTCTGTCTGTGGTCTTCTGTGCCCTTCCCCTATCTTCATGACTTTGCATTTGGCAGGATTAAATTCGAGAACCCATTTGCGGGACCAGGTGTCCAGTCTGTCCAGGTCTCTTTGAAGTCCTGCCTGGTCCTCATCAGTTTTAAATTTCTCCTCATTAACTTCACATCATCTGCAAACAGGACACTTCTGAGTTCTAACCCTTCCGTCATGTCGTTCACATATACCAAAAATAGCACTGGTCCCAGGACCGACCCCTGTGACCCCGCTCGTCAAAGGTGCCCACTGTGATACATCATTACGTACCATGACTCGTTGTTGCCTCCCTGTCAGGTATTTCTGATCCATTGCAGTGCCCTTCCTGTTTTTATGCCCTGAGCCTAGCTTCTGCATAATCTCTTGTGAGGAAATTTTCAAAGGCCCTTTTTGCGTCCAAGAAGAGCATTTAAACCCACCCCTCTCCCTCTTGTCTTTTCTGTTTTTTTTATATAAAAAACCCGAAGGTTTGTGAAACAGGGTTTTCCTCCGTGAACCGTGCTGTTGGCATTTATATCCTTTCCTTCCAGGTGCTCCACCACCTCCTCCTTAAATTTTTCCAAATTTTGCATACTATCCCAAAAAGACACAGGCTATAGTTTAGTGCCCCCTTTTTCTGTCCCCCTTTTTTTTAAAATGGGGAAATACATTTGCCGTCTTCCATACCTCAGGTATTGCCCAGTTTCCGGGATGTTTGAAGATTGTGGAAGTGGTACCACAACATATTGCTCCCTTCTAAGGACCCCCAGAGAGATGTTTTCCCCGGTCCCCTTGCCCTTTGATACGATGTCCCTTAGCATTTTTCACCCCCTCCTCATTGTATGTATGCGTCCAAATTTGTTGGTGTATTCCTTGTTGGTGTCCCCATTGGCTTTTCCCCCCCAATCCTTCTGTCTCTACTGTAAATACTTCCTTAAATCTGTGGTTTTGGAGTGTGTGTGGTGAGTTTTTGGGGTGGAGTGTGTGAGGTTTTGATGTGTGATTTGTGGTGTGTGAGGTGATGTGGAGTGTTGGGGGTGTGGGGGTTTTTGTGTTTGTGAGTGTGAGTGTGAGTGTGAATGGAGTGGAGTGTGACGTGAGTTGATGTGTGTATGTGAGTGTGTGTGTGTGTGTTGTGGGGGTGTGGTGTGGTGTGTGTGTCTGTGTGAGTGGTGGTGTTTGAGTGTGGTGTGAGTGTGTTGTGTGGTGTGTGTAAAGTGTGTGTGTATGTGTGTGTGTGTGGTGTTGTGTTTTTGGTGTGTGTGAGTGTGATGTGTGGGGTGTTGTGTGTGTGTGTGTTGTTTTTGTGTGTGTGTAGTTGTTGTGTGGTGTGAGTGTGGGGCGTGGTGTGTGATGTGAGTTGTTGTGTGTTGTGTGTGTGTGAGTGTGTGTGTGGGGTTGTGTGTGTGTGTGTGTGTCCACCTAGTTGTACTCACCTATTGAGGTTGCGGGGCCCGAGTCCGAGCTCCTGGCCGGTGTTGTGGTGTGGTTGTGTGTTGGGGTGGTGTGTGTGGTGTGTGTGAGTGTGGTGTGTGTGCGGGTGGGGGTGTTGTGTGTTGTGTGTGTGGTGAGTGTGTGAGTTGTGTGGAGTTTTGAGTGTGTGTGGTGGGTGTGTGTGATGTGAGTGTGGTTGTGTGTGTGTGTGTGGAGTTTTTTGGTGTGTGTGTGTGGGTGTGTTGTGTGTGGGTGAGTGGGGTGTGGTGTGTGTGTGGTGTGTTGTGTGTTGTGTGTGGTGTTTGTGGGTGTGTGTGTGTGTTGTGTGTGTGTTTTGTGTGAGGGGTGTGAGTGGTGTTGAGTGTTGGTGTGTGTGTGTGTGTGTGTGTGTTGTGTTTTTGTTGAGTGTGAGTTTGTTGTGTGTGTGTTTGGAGTGTGTGTGTGTGTGAGTTGTGTGTGTGTGTGTGTTGTGTGTGAGTGTGTGAGTAAGTGGTGCGGGGTTTGTTGAGTGTGTGTGTGTAAGTGGAGGGGTGGTGTTTTTGGTTTTTGGTTGTGTGTGGGTTTTGTGTGGTGTGAGTGTGATGTGTGGTGTTGGTGTTGTGTGTGTGTGTGTGTGTGTGTGGTTTTTATTTTTTGTGTGTGAAAGTGGAGGTGTGTGTTGTGTGTGTGTGAGTGTTAGTGTGGTGTGAGTTGGGTGAGTGTGTGGTGTGTGTGTGTGTGTGTGTGTTTGTGTGTGGGTGGTGTGTGAGTGTGTGTGTGTGGTGTGTGTGTGTGTGTGTGTGTGTGTGTGAGTGTAGTGTGTGTTGTGTGTGGTGTGTGTGTGTGGTGTGTGAGTGTGTGTGTGTGTTGTTGTGGTGGTGTGTGTTGTGTGTGTGGGGGGAAGTGTGTGAGTGGTACCACCTAGTTGTACTCACCTATTTGAGGTTGGGGGGGTGGGCCCCGAGCCCCTGGCCCCGCTTCTTCACTGATCGTACTAGTCACTCTCCGGCCCG